ATTTTTAATGCTTAAAGTAACACTGGAGATTGAATATAGTTTTGACTGGAGCAAACTAATTTAGCTGTGGAAGAGTTGTGAACAGCTCTGCCCTCTACTGGATAGTCAAAACTACTTCAGTGTTATCAGTTTTTTGCACTATTCTATGCTCTTTAAAATTTAATTTCAAAATATACTCATTTAGTATTAAAATTGACAACTACTGGAATTCAGGAACCATTTGTTTCAACACTTGAACTTATTTTTGCCACAAAAGTAATAAAATCTTAACTTACTCATTGTAAAGTTGGTTACATGCTCAAAGAGAGATTTGCATTTATATAGTATCTATCAAAACCTCAAAGGCCCAAAGCATTTTACTACCAGTTAGCTATTTTTAAAGTCTAGTATTATAGGCACATTTATCAGTGTTAATACACAGTTAGGTATAATCTAAGATTTTATTTGGATGCCTAATAGACATGGCCTCCTAGTATAATTGTTTAGATTGAAAAATTAATTCTGACTAAAAGGCAGTAAAATAAAATGAACAGAACAAAATGCTGGTGAAAAACTATCATTTATTAATATAAAACTGCCTCCAAAATACTTGCATTTTGCAGTAATGATACCACATTGACCAGCAGAGTTTATGCTTAGAACTGTTGCAGTTAGTTGAAGTGCCTTTGCTGTTCCTCCAAGCTAACATTCCTTTTCCCTATTCCATTATTAATACTGGCGAGTGATTGTCTTTAACCTCAATGTTGCAACCTCTCAAAATTTGATTCGGCAGAGCAGAATGCAAGCAATATCCATAGAACTAGCTGAATTTAGGGAAGTGTTCAGTCCAATAACTAGGACTTCCAAGGTGAAAATTCATTTGGCTTCAATCATCTAAGCCTCTGAAGACTTGTTTACCAGTGAATTTTTTAATTTGCTTCCAATGGCATTTAGAGACATCTGAATAGTCTCCAACAAAATAAACCACTCAGACTGAGAACTACGATAACACCACAAATAGGGAAATAGTCAAAAGATATTGGTACCTGAGATTTATTGTTGCTGAAAATGGAATGCAGTAGCTTTCCCTCTGATTGCTAAAAGATTAAATGATAACGTCTTCATGTTGAAGATGCTTTTCAAAATCTGTTTACAAAAAGCAACGGGAAGGCGGGAGGACATTGAATGCAACTGGAACTGAAATTTTACGATTGGCGTTGTCATATGTAGAGCATATTCTTTCTTGGAACAATAAAATTTATGATGCGCTTTTAGACACAGCTACAAATTAAACGAAATTCACTGAAATAAATGAGGCTAGGTAGTTCTTTAACATATTCTATGGCAATTTTGACTAGTGTTATAGTTTGATATAATGTTAATGCACAGTTTAGATTGTGAAATGGCTTTAGTTAATGGAACTTTGGTAGCTAAATCAGTTTTTTCACACACACAGCTTGATGAATACTTCAAATTGGCAAATATATTCTGGTGGCAGATCACAACTTTGCAGATAATTTACTTGTTGACAGTTAAGTTGTTGAAGACTGGGGTAGGGGAAGGGTACTTCTGAAATACACTACTTCAAATAAGAAGCAGAAAAAAACTGCTGCCAGACCTGCTGAGCTTTTCCAGCAATTTATGTTTTTGCTTCTGATTTACAGCATACGCGGTTCTTTCGGTTTTTACTTCTAATTAGAGTTGTAGAAAGTTAACTGAAATTTAGTTTAATAGTCATACCATATTGGATTTCTTGGATTTATTCAATGCGATTCTTAAAAGCTAGCAATGATAATTAGGTGCATTCGGTTTCCTTTAGAAAGTAAGGGTTTTTTTGATGCATTCTCATAAATGATTTGCATTTATTTGCAAAAAGGACATGGTTTAAAAAAAGGGTATGACACAATTCGTCATCAAAGTCATTTTTCTCACAAATCAAAAGAACCAATTTTGAAAGAAGCAGTATGTTGACTAACAAATGCAATTGTCCTTTCAAATCACAATTTTTTTGGGGGGTAATAGTCTCGATTGCCTTTTAAACAACTGCTTTAAGTTCCTATCTGTGTATTCTGAACATCAAATGCTTATTGATATTTAACTCTAATGATTCAAAATAACAACAGAAATACTTAATGGCATCATTTTTTGCAGATATTTTCCTTTTACAAATAAACTCAAGGAAAGTTAGTGGAAGCTACTAAGACCAGTTAGCTTAAGCTTGGAAAGAAATTTTTGGGATATATAAGATGTTGTATGTAATTATACTAGCTTGTTGTTACAAATAACTTTCCCATGATATCATAATGATCTATAACTCACCAATGACAAGTTTACTGCTGAAAGTAAGACTTGGGGATTGTAGAAAACTTTGCTATGCCCAGCATCAATATTGGATTTTATGACAAAGGAACAAGCTTTAGAGATCCCTTAACTACAAGATATTAAATAAGTACAAGTAACAATCCTTTGTGTTAATTGTATATTCAAAGGTAGAACACTGAAAGTCAGACATTAAAAAGTCATGTATGGACAGGAAAAATCTGGATACATAGCACAACCATTTTAAAAATAAAATAGATGAGTTTAAAGCTCAATGCAGTGCTCAACAAAATCTGCAAGTAAAAAAGCTTGTTAATGAAAGTTAATGATTATCATGATATCATTTAGGGATCTCTAAAGCTTGTTCCTTTGTCATAAAATTCAATATTGATGATGGTCATAACAAAGTTTTCTAACGCCTCCCAAATTTTACTTTCAGCAGTAAACCGTCATAGGTGAGTTATAAATCATTACGATATCTTGAGAAAGTTGTTTGTGATAACAAGCTAGTATAATTACACACCACACCCTAGATATCCCAAGAAGTTTCTTTCCAAGCTTAAGCTCACCAGTCTAACTGGGTCTTGGTGATTTCCATTAACTGCCCTTGAGTTAATTTGGAAAAGGAAAAAGGAAAATATCCATAAAAAATGACACCGCTAGACTCAGTTGAATATTGCTACTTGTCCTTTTCTTGAAAAACCAACAAATGAACTACCAGTGACTTGAATAGAACAAGTTTTACAGTATTTTGTAGTTTAATAGTTTTCAATATTTTCAAGGATTCAGATTGTGTTCTTATCGGTCAAACATTGAGTGAAATATGGCTTCACATTGCAATAATTAAACTGACAGTAGTGATTTTGTTTCTTTTTGTCACTAGAAGCCAATTTAATGACAGTTGTAAATTAGCTGGAGCTTTGTGATGGATGCTGTTGGACTAGTTGAGTAGACAAAGCTGACAGCTATCAGAGTTGTAGAGGTGCCAGTGTTGGACTGGGGTAGACAAAGTCAGAAGACACCAGATTATAGTCCAGCAGGTTTATTTGAAATCACAAGCTTTTAGAATGTAGCCCCTTCATCCGGTGAAGTGAAAGAGAAGTACACACAACACAGAATTTATGGTCAGAGAGATCAAAAGATCATATAAATGGTGTGAGTGGAGTGTCGAAAAAAAGTCCCTGCAGGTAATCTGAAGTGTTAGATGGTGTAATTAAAGTGTCCACAGTTGAATAACAGGCGGAGGGATGACCTATAATCCGATTAAATGAGACAGAAAAATAATTACAAAAAATTAAAAATAATGTGGTGCTGGAGACCAACCAAATATCTGGAATAACATGATATGTATAAGAGTCGCATGCCAAGGGTAAACTAAAGTCATCCAAAACTGTACAAGCTAATTAAGATAGAGATCATAACAAGTTATCAAGGTGATTGTGACAAAACAAGACAATAAAGAAGATTTTACAGATACAGAACAGTGTGGTGGGGTCATATGTAGTGCGACATGGATCCAAGATTATGGTTGAGGCCATCTTCATGGGTACAGAACTTGGCTATCAGTTTCTGCTCGGTGATTCTGCGTTGTTGTGTATCTCAAAGGCCGCTTTGGAGGATGCTTACCTGAAGATCAGAGGCTGAATGTCCTTGACTGCTGAAGTGTTCCCCAACTGGAAAGGAGCATTCCTGTTTAGCGATTGTTGTGCGGCGTCCATTCAGCCGTTTCATAGCGTCTGCATAGTCTCGCCAATATACCATGCCTCGGGGCAACCTCACCTACGCCATATGAGAGAGATAAGATTGGCCAAGTCACAAGAGTATCTATCGTGTACGTGGTGGGTGGTGTTTCCCACATGTGATGGCAGTATCCATGGCGATGATCTGACATGTCTTGCAGAGGTTGCTGTGGCAGGGTTGTGTGGTGTTGTGAATGATGTTCTCCTGAAGGCTGGGTAGTTTGCTGTGAACAATGGTCTGTTTAAGGTTTGGCGGTTGTTTGAAGGTGAGAAGTGGAGGCGTAGGGATGATCTTGGCGAGATGCTCATCGTCATTGATGACATTTTGAAGGCTGCGAAGAACATGGCATAGTTTCTCCACTCTGGGGAAGTACTGGATGACAAAGGGTACCCTATCGATCGTATCTTGTGTCTGTCTTAGGAGGTTGTTGTGGTTTTTCACTCTGGCACATCAGAACTGGCGATTGATAAGTTGAGCATCATATCCCGTCCTTGTGAGGGTGTCCTTCAAAATCTTTAGGTGTCCGTTGCATTCCTCCTCATCTGAGCAGATCCTGTGTATGTGCAGGATATCAAACTTGTTGATATTGCTATGTAGGACTCATGGTGAGGAATCACTGAAATGACTACATAACGATATCAACAAATTTCATCCCACCATCAGACTTATCATGGACTACTCTTCAGAATCAGTCTAGTTCTTGGACACACGCATCTCTATCAAGGACAGACTCCTCAGTACCTCACTCTGCTGCAAACCCGCGGATAACCTCACAATGCTACACTTTTCTAGCTTCCACCCTAAACGTATTAAGGAAGCCATGCCCTACAGACAATCCCTGCGCATACACATATTTTGAAGAACATTAATAAGCCGTATTAATTCTGGATCAATTTAATTTGTTATGCTATTCTTGATAACATGCACTTTTTTTTCTGAAAGTTTCCTTGTTCTTTTCCTAGGTTGAAGCAATCCTTGTCAACATTTTTGGTGGAATAGTCAACTGTGCAATAATAGCACATGGCATAACCAAGGCATGCCGTGAACTTAAACTGAAAGTGCCATTGGTTGTAAGACTTGAAGGTAAGAAATGCAAAAAGAAAGACGTACAATTTCATGATGCCTTTTATGAGTACAAGACATCTCAAAGCCCTTTCTATCCAATGAAATACTGTTGAAGACTAGTCATTCCTGACTACTCTGCTTTCCTCTCTGGCTCCCATGTAGTTGATATTGCCAATGGCTCTCTGTCTTTGGTTACTATCCCACTTATCTTTAAACAACCATCCCATCCCTTGACCCCAGAATTCCTGTGGACTGCCACCCACCTCATATCTAGCCTCCATGTTCTCTCCAGTGGCCTTAAGCATGTTATTGCTTCCCAAATCTGTGCCTATCCTTCACAGAATTCCATGTTTGAATCCTCCAAATAAGGTTTCTACCTTTCCACAGTATCAAAGCAGCTCCTATCAAAGTCACAAATTACTTCTCATGTGACTTTGACAAAGATAAATCACTCCTCTTTGTCTTTCATGAGCTTTTGACACAGTTTGTATTGGGACTTGAACCTGCAACTTACTACCGCAGAGGTGAGAGTGATACCACTGAAGTTGACACCTAAACTGTAGTTAAACCACTGTATGATAATCCTCTTTCTAATCTGGAAGCGATGCAATGTCTTCCTCCTACCTTGTCCAGTTAGAGATCATTGACTTAGTAGAAGGTTGAAATGAAAATGTTGTAAGGGAAAGTACCAAACTAATCCAGCAATTAAAGTGTTAAATTTAAAGCAGAACTAAATAGTGTGACAATGTGAAATTTTCCCAGGAACAGGCTCTCGGATAGCATTGCAGATAGAAGGATGTGCAAAAGCTTTAGACCTGTTAGGTCGTTAGCTGCAAACTGGACTAATTAAAAGAGATTATTAGGAGCTGTCCAAAATTCTTCCTTTCAAAACCTATCAATGAACAATAATAGGTTTTTTTCAGAACTGCACACAGTGGTAAGAAATTACTTTAGAACATAAAGTTTGTGAGTCAGTAGAGACATAACCATGTTTTGACCACACATTAGCAGAAATTTGAAAAAAAAGATTTCCTCAATCTTAAAGAAAGGTTGAGACAAAGATACATCAATCTATTAAGAAATTACACTGGATTGTGAGTATAATCTTGCTATATTTGTTTGAGTTAATTGTTTCTTAAGGTGGATTTGAAGACTGTATGCTTAATGTAGAATGATCATTTGACGACAAGTTTTGATTGACCTTGAACTCCATGACAAAGGAGTCATTACCATAATGTAATACAGAATTGGTTCACAAAATAAATATTTATAAGCAAGTATTAAAAGCTTGTAGTCTCATACTTAGTCAAGAATCCACAGATAACAATATTCTAAAATTCTAAAGTTAGGATTCTATGTGCTGATATTGGTCAACTTAAACAAGTTGTTTCTGCTGTAATTTCCTGAGATAGTTCTGCTAGATTGAAAACTCCTAAGGGGAAGCACCTTACAATTTACGTAGCTCGAAATGCTGAATAAGTTTCTTTAGTGAACTGACTTCTCTGAATTCAGGTTTTGGCTAACATTAAGTTCAACCAGATACATCTACCTTGCTAGCAGATAGAGTCAAGCTGTTGACACGTTATGGCACAGCTATTCACCAGATGTCCTCGTTTGGCATCACTTCCAGTAGCTCCATGCAAATATAGCTCTATCATAGGAGTGTAGCAGGTGCCATTGGCCACACAGTGTCATGCATCTGGAATGGAGATGGTGGTGAATTCCATACGTGCACCCAAAGAGCTTGAAAGGACAAGATCACACATTCATATAGATCAATTGCTGATGCAATGCGTAAATACTTACATTGTCTATTTGTTGGACAATTTATGTTATCCTAATTTGACTCCTGAAAGAACAAGTGTTAGCAGCAAAAGGCCCACAGCTAATTAAAAGGTCATTCAACAAGTTGGACCTGAGGTGCTTTTGACTTAATTTTTTTCTGAAAAAGTGGCACTAAAGGAACTTGGCTCCTTGAATGCTATTCATGGGTCCCATTATCTGTTTCACCTTTAGTCACACCCTCCTGTCCTGATCACAGACCAAGTTTGAATTAGTCTGAAAGTGTAACCACCTTTTATAGCGAAGTGTCCCAGGCACTTTCATCCCCTCCCTGATATAGTGCAATGTCTGCAACTCAGATTCCAGCTCCTTAATTCAGATTAAGTGTTCCCCAAGATGCGAACGCTTACCACAGGCGTGTTCACCCTGGAAATTCTTAGTGTCCAGCAGCGCTCTCATGCTGCAGGAGTAGCACATCACCTTGCTCATTCACCCTTGGATTTTGTTTAATTTATTGACTAATAACCTGCTGTTTACACACTCCTAGCTCCTTACACCTTACTGTAATAAATTTTTTGTACACCAGTATCAATCTTCTACTTAAACAAGGCATTTTAAGAAAAAGGGTAAAAAACAGTAGAGACCTAAACACAAACTGAAGAGCTTTTTTTCTTTAAAGGCTAGGAATACTTACCAATTCTCGCTAATCAGCCTGCAGCATTAGCAATGTATCACAGTTCACCATTCACACACTAATCCCCTCCAACTTGTTCACAATTGTGCATATTTTTAAATCTACAACTTTTTATTGGCATGAATGTGCTCATATATTATGGATTCCTGAGAATTTTGAAGTACTTCTTGTTTGTTTTAAGTAAAAACGCTAACTGCATGATTTGTAAATAATTAAGTATCTTTAAAGATTTTAGATATAAATACATGCTTATGCAATATTCCCAAGGCTAGTAAAATGTAGATTTCTAGGACCATCAAAATTGATGTTACTCAGACAAGTTACATAAATGAGACAGCACATCAGTCTTTAGCAAGATCTTTTGAATTGGAACTATGAGATGATATTTACTCTTAACTCCCTTGACAACAGTGTCATTGCATAACACTTGTAAATGATATAATTAACCAGCCTCACATTTATATAAAAATCAGATATAAACTCACAAGCAGAAGTTGCTCAGAAGACTTTTTAAAAAAGCATTCTGGAGTCATATGGCTAGAAATTCACTTTAGTTCTGTTTATCAAGCATAAGCCAAATCAATAAACCTCTTTCTTTTTCTACACATTACTGAACAGAACAGTAGTGTTAATATCAGAATATGTGTTGTATAATGCCTTTACCAGCCATTGTTTAGTACATGAAACCCTGTACAAAGCTGCAACTTTAAAGAGTTGGGTATTTCATCAAGGTGGACAGATCTTCTTAATTTCTGAGGAGACTGATAAAATAACTGAGGTTAAGCACTGGGATATTGTAATATAAAGATTGTTTTACCTGTGCTTACTGTTTCTTCAAAAGAGCTGATATGTATTGGATGCAGTGCAGCTGGTTCTATGGATGATTGACACTTCGATTGATTTTACAAGTCTGATGTTCAGTGACGTGCTCTACAGAAATGGTTTAAATTCTGTTTTAGGGCAAAAAAAATTCAAAACTATTTCAATGTTATCTGACCCCTGAAATGTGGCCCAATAACTTGTTAACCACCATAGCAGTTTCAAAATCCGTTTCATTCCAATTTCAGGTTATTCCATTCATGTGGAGAACGGTGTGTTAAATTTTTCCTCAAATTTCCATGTGCCAAGTCAAATCACATACCATACATGTTTTATTTTTCTATGTAGAATAGAATAAGTTCAGTTTGGATTTTGTTTTTTTCTTTGTCTCATATCAATTATTTTAGGTTTGCTTGACTCTAATATTCACAACCAGAGCATTTGACTGACATAATTCAGAGTTGTCTCCAAATTAACACGATAAAAGCACAGCTCCCCTGTACCAAAACTAAACCCTGCTCAGCTCCCACTAAGTTGTTATAGTTGTGTCCTTGATGGCAGACTGCTTCCTGGCTGTTGACTGATCCTGAACCTGGTAGTGGGAAAAATGGAATATGCTGTTTGATCCTAAGTTAAGCTTCAAATCACATATCCCTCCAATATCCATACCAATGCTGCTATTAAAATCTTTTTCCATGTTGCCTCTTTTGCTTCCAGGCTTGATTTGTCTCATGAATCCTTAACTGCACCAGCTAAGTTCCGGCTTGCCTAAAATTTTCCTTCCTTATGTATTTTGACTACATGAATTCCTGCCTACCACATCTGTTCTTGCCAGCCTCCAGCGTTCCCTGTTCTTCAATTTCCAGTTCACCTTCGTTAATTACAAAATCCTATTCTCGTTAACAATTGGTCTGTTCATACCCACAACCTCGTTCAACTTGCATTCCAACCTACATCCTTCTGATTCCAAATTCTTGTGCTCCTCCCAACTACAATCCCATCTGGCATAGAGTCAATGGAAAGTTAATAGGGCAGTTTGTGAAACGGACAATCAATCTGATCCTATCATTTTCCTGCAGGATGGTTTAAATGGCCCCCAGAGAGCTATTTGATCACTGAAATACTATGTAAGTATCATCAGGACACATTGAAGCCGTTACAGTTATCAGTTTCTAATTTCAATGCAATCAACCAAGGAGCACAAGGTGCCTTAATTTTATGCTCCAACTTGCCAGAGTTATGCTGAATAGTCCCTCCCCTACCCTCCCTCTTCCACCACCCTTCACAACCCAAGAATTCTATTACTATATTCTTGAAGGTTCATTCACTTCTTTAAGAACTGACCCAAAAGATATGCCACAACCTGCCATCATTCTTTTTCTGAAGAAGGGTCTAGGCCCGAAACATCAGCCTTCCTGCTCCTTTGATGCTGCTTGGCCTGCTGTGTTCGTCCAGCTCTTCACCTTGTTATCTCAGATTCTCCAGCATCAGCAGTTCGTACTATCTCTGCCATTATTCAATTCAGCTCTTCTCACTGTTTCAGGATGTTTTCTGCGGAAATATTTTATGGGGTTCCTTCCATTGGCTCTTTTACAAAGCAGCCCTCCAACTTTCATTTGATACAAATGTGGGTGCTTCAGTTTCTTGTATAAGTTGCTGGCAGATAACCAACCGTCTGCTCACAACTTCCAAGCTAACCCCCGTTAACCGCTTCTGCCAAAAC